TCTGGATGTGTATATATGAGCGGCTTCCCACGAAACCTTTTATGTTGCGGTTACTGTCAAGATGAAGCTGTAGAATAAATGCATGACAACGTAATAAAAAGCTGTGCGCAAGTGTAATGCACCGAGTTGAAGTTCATCCCATATATCCATTAATCCATACCGGGGCGTCGTGGCCTAAGTAGTCGAACTAATGTATCACTAGCCTGTCAACACTTAGGTTGTGAGTTCGAATCCCGCACAAGAAGGCAGGTAAGCTCGACTTCAATCTAAATTGACTAGAATTGTCAGTTTTCCTACCGAAGGTCAGTGGTTCTCTCCGGGCACTACGGCTTCCTCCACCAATATAAACTGACCGCCTCGAAATAGCACGATAGTGCTGAAAGTGGAGTTAAACACCAATTAATCAATCAATCATCCATACCGGTATACTTATGCATGAGTAGAAAATTTTATAGCTATGGTTATGAAGTACTTTTAAAAATGACTGTGATTTAATTGGTATAGGAAATGAATTAAGATAAAGCGGCAATTCATAAAGAGGGAATATCTATACTGGTATAGCTGTCTTTTGCAATAAAAGTGCTTTTATCATATTTTTGCCGCAGCAGGGAAATTCTTCAACTAGATCCTGTTTTAATGGACTAAATCTTTCTCCGAAATGTTTGAAAAGTTTTTTTTGTTAAATTGCACTGTCTCATTTTTTTTTTCTTTCTATAAATTGCACTTTCGGAAGCTGATACGAGGCTGGAGCTTCTAGATCAGAAACAGTAAACTGGCATTCAAAAACAAAAATGCAGAATATCCTCTAGTAGATCAAATATTTGAACTCCAGGTGCTCAATACACAGTCGAGGACCCATAATTTAATAATTTTAACAGTATGTTCATTATCGTCGACCCATTGATTAAACCTAAACTTTGCAATTTATATTTTGACAATTTTCCAACAATATCAGATGGGATTTCTTTTGCACATCATATAAGTATATTTGCACATCATATAAGGATTTATGCACAACATATAAGTATATTACGGATTACAAATGCTTCGAATTTTGTGATTTGATAACAATACAGAGATGTCAGTATATATTCAGGTATTGACGGGGTATATATGACGTTTTTTTTATCCCAATTGGAACCCCAACAACGTCATCATAACGCACGTTACTATGTGACGTAGTCTTACGCTATACAGAACACTTAAAGAATGTCCAGAGGTTCACAGATGGAAAATAATGACGTGTATCCGTCAATTATACGTTTTTAATTTAAAATCATTCGATTAACACATCAAATACTTAATTAATGTCTTAAAGTGTTATTACAAATCATTACATACACGATAAAATTATTTTCACAGCAAATTACAAAATCCTTCACGTACGCGAAAAATATCAGGTTGGCTTTTTCGATACTTTTGTTGTTAAAAAAAGTCATAATACATAAAAAGTCACAAAGATATACATGAAATCTAAAAACTTTAATGAAAAAACATTCTTAACGAAAAAAAAAAATTTAAAGATGAAAAAATGGAATTTAAAAGAATTACTCTTACTCAAAATAATATGAAACAATAAGCATATACTGAATGTATATACTGCATGGTGAATATTTAACATATACCTGGTTCTGGAAAAACATTAAGGCAGAGGTAATCCGTAATATATGTGTAATTCAGGTTTCAGACAGGGTATATAATGTGACATTCCCGGCTTAGGGTTTATATCCCCATACCGTAAAGTAAGCAGACATGCTACGACCAAAGTAGTGGGAAAGTGATAAATATTCACAAAAAAAGTTTCAAACGTCAAATATTTACTTAAAACTGTACGTGAAACATTGTAGTAGTCAATTGTTGATGTCTAAAATAGTTATACTGCTAACAACTAATAAATAATTTTCTTAATAAAATTGAGAATGGAAATGGGGAATGTGTCAAAGAGACAACAACCCGACCAAAGAGCAGAAAACAGCCGAACGCCACCAATGGGTCTTCAACACAGCGAGAAAATCCCGCACCCGGAGGCGTGCTTCAGCTGGCCCCTAAACAAAAATGTGTACTAGTTCAGTGATAATGGATGTCATACTAAACCCCAAAACATATAAATGAACTAAAATTAAAAACCATACAAGACTAACAAAGGCCAGAGGCTCCTGACTTGGGACAGGCGCAAAAATGCGGCGGGGTTAAACATGTTTTGTAAGATCTCAACCCTCTCTCTATACCTCTAGCCAATGTAGAAAAAACAAACGCACAGCAATACGCACAGTAAAACTCAGTTTAAAAGAAGCCCGAGTCCGATGTCAGAATAGGTAACAAAAGAAACTAAGCAAAATGACAATGATACATAAATTAACAAAGGACTACTAGCAGTTACTGACATGCCAGCTCCAGACCTCAATTTAACTGATTGACAATTTATGTCTTCATTATATGAAAATCAAGCACAATCCCTCCCGTTAGGGGTTTAGTATCATACCATCATAAAATATATGAGAAGAACACAACCCGTATCATGCCAAATGCCAACAACTGGTTTTAGAATAAATGTGTTTATTTCCGATGCAAAGACCCTATGAGTGAATCAATATTAATACCAAAATATGCCATCTTTAATGACCTGACAACAGTATCGTAACTATATCCCTTCTTAATAAGTCTATTTAAAGGTTTGGTTAGCTTTTGAGGTGAATGCCGACATTTTTGTGCTTTGTAAAGAGTATTGCCATAAAAGATTGGATGTGAAATACCTGAACGTATAAGATGTCTGCATGTTGATTTATATTTACGAATGATGTCCTTGTACCGATGATAAAATTTAGTAAATGTTTTGACTAGTTTGTGATATCGAAAACCCTGGTGTAATAGTTTTTCAGTTATACATAGATTTCTTTCGTTAAAATCAAATACGTTGTTACATACACGAGCGAATCGAACAAGTTGAGATATATAAACACCATAAGATGATGACAAGGGAACGTCACCATCTAAAAATGGATAATTAACAATAGGAAATGAAAAATCATCTCTTTTATCATAAATTTTGGTATTAAGCTATATAGGTATCAAGATCCAGGAAAGGGCAGTGTTCATTGTTAGTATTAGCTTTATTTAAAGTCAGTTCAGCAGGATAAATCTTTTGAGTGTACATCAAGTCGTCAATTTTGAGAGCCAATATATCATCCAAATATCTAAAAGTGTTATCAAATTTTTGTATCAGATGTTGTTTCGATGGGTCTTTGCTGATTTTAGTCATAAATTGTAACATAGATTATTCACAACTTATCACCAGTTGTATGTGCTCTTTTTCCATCCATTGTCTAACAACCTGGATAACAATGGTAATTACAGGATTTAAGTGATATATTTTAAATGTGCTTTTGTTAATTATCATACCGTTATTTTAGATTAAGTGCTCTTCCTGCACTATTTTTTTTAATAATATATTCTTTTATATGTACGTTTTGATAATCTATTAATCGGGCGGGGACCTACCGAATTAGACTTGTAATGGAGGGTTTGTACTTACATGAGGTACACGACGGGTGTCACATGTGGAGCAGGATCTGCTTTACCCTTCCGGATCACCTGAGATCGGCCCCGGTTCTTGGTTGGGTTCGTGTTGTTCAGTGTTGAGTTTTCTATGTTGTGTTTTGTATACTGTTGTTTGTCTTTTGGTCTTTTTCTTTTTTGCCATGGCGTTGTCAATATATTTTCGACTTATGAGTTTGAATGTCCCTTTTGTATCTTTCGCCTCTCTTTTAATAAACCTCACAACATATCAATGTGCCTTTAACAAACCTGGTAGTTGTATGACATATCTTAATGTTTTTCGTTATTTGGAGAATTTGGGTTTTAAAGGTAAATCTTTGGTAGATTTTTTCTGTTTTTATTCACGATTTTTATACACTCAAGACAAATTAGAGCTCGATCTATTGTATAGACATATGTTTATTGTTAAAGACTATATTTCCCTTTCAATATCTTTTGGTGTTTTTTTCTTGTGTTTAATTTTATGTCTTTTTCGTTGCGTACTATCTCATTTTCGTTTTCCCTATATATCCTTTCTTCATATATATAGTTAAAAATCATGTCATTGTAAGTTGCTATTCCTTCCGACAAATCATATTGCTTTTGTTGTTCAATTTTCTTTAGTGTCTCAAAATTTAAGGTGTAATGAATACCAGATATAGATTAAAGTTGTGTTGTGTGCATGACAATCTATGCCCCACTGGAACTTCATGGTGGCCATTCGATGAAATAGCCACATTTAATGTCCCTAAATAAAGCATGTTGAATTTTTCTTCAGTCTGCTTTTTCCCTATGAACACTGATAAGTATTTTGCAAAGTTTACATTTATATATACTCTTTAAATGGCAACCAGCCTTAAACATTAATTGCTATAAAATGTTTGTTATTAAAAGACATGTGGGAGCAATTTGAAAGGTATTCGTATTTTCTGAAGCTTGACATATTACAGGTATTTATTTTCCTTTTTTAAGACCTATGCTGACCTGAAGATGTATTTTCATGAATTTATTTAAAATATTTTTCACTATTGTCTTATCGAAGCACTTCATCGTTTCATTTAGGTCATATAAAATGAGAAAGAAAGAACATAAAACCAAAATAGGTAGAGGTAGCTAGAAGTTATCATTTGGCCTTCAAAAACTGGACAAACTGGTAATAAGAGTTGTACGAGTCTATTTAATAGAGACATCAATGAATCTTCATAACCGCAATTAAATGATATATATTGTAGTTAAATGATGTTCAAACCTCATAAACCAGTTAAAAAGATAGATGGTCAAATCTCATAAATTCATTATAAAGATATAAATCAAAGTAAAAAAAAAACTGAAGGAATCTCATACACTCGCAAATGACCGAGACCGGTTGCGTCGACAGAGTACATCATTTGTTTGACTTTTTTAGCATTTCAATATAGTAATAATTAGAATATATGATTTTCTATTTTTCCTTAATATATTAACAGATGAAATACGTGTAACAAATGTACCGCCAATTGGAAATTATACTCTAAGCGTAACAGTAACAGATCCATGTAACAAGTCTGATACTAGTACACCAACGATAGCAGTAATTAATAGAGTAAGATATATCATTACTTTATATGTTCAAAATATGCCTATTCCATTTTTCGTATATGTAAAAAAGACATGATTTAATCTCTTTTAATACTAGTAGGTGGGTACTGATCATGAAGAAAGAGTCATCATTTTGAAATTTGTTTAATATACAAGACTTCATTGATTGCTTTAAAAATGTTTATATCCAATCACTTCTATTAAAAACGGCTAGTGTGATTAGTAACTGATGCTCCATCTTGAGCATCTGACTTTAGCACGTTATTGTTGTTCAATCGTGATTTATTTGTGATTTGTAGACTGATTTTTATGGAAGCGCATATGGTACACCCCTTGTAAAGTGATTTTGTTGCAAATAAGTTGGAACTATTAGTTAAGTTCTGTGTTATAAGCTGGATTCAAATCATCATGTGGAGTCAACTTGTCGGAATAATGAAGGCAAAATTGTATTACAATGTCGACTTGCTAATATAAATGTAATGACATAGTAATAAGAAGTCGAAATGTTGAATTCAACTTATTAACTGATTAAGTCGACAACTTGTTTATTTGATGATGAGGTAAAACCACGTGACCATTTTGGAAAAACATAAGTCTATTTTTAAATCGATTTCCATATGTCGTTTGTTTAATGTGCTTCGGATGAGTGTCGCTATCCATTGAGTTCAAGTTCAAATTAAAGGTCGAGTTGTTGTTCACAGTTATTTAGTATGAAAAGGGGGAACGGCAGTCAAATATCAATAAAAATGTACAAAAAAAATAATTATATTTCGGACATAAAGGGCGATATCCCCACACCACTTGGTCCGGCGTTTATTTTCCTTAGTTCTCAAATGGAATCGGTATTATAATAAATTCGTGGAGGATTCAAAGGAACTCTCTGTCTCGCCTAAGATTGCTGCTGTTAGTGTAGAATTGTAATGTTGACAGTAAACAGTTTATTTTTCTGTAACATACAAAATTTGAAAACTAGTTTTAAAGATTAACTCCTTTACAAGTTTTATAAAAATTCATGGAGATTTACAAATTGATCTGGACAAAACAGTTTTATTTACTGCAAAAAATAAGAAGATGAGCAAAACCTTTACTGTATAGTAAGCTATGAAAGAATCCGAAATGACATGTAAAACAACTCAAACGAGAAACATATAACGATCTAAATGACGCCAACGCCGACGCCACTATTACATAAAGTTAGGAGACGTTGTGTGATTGCAAATGAGACAACTAGCCACTAGATTTTAAATGAAGAGGATGTAAGCAATCATAGGCAGCCGTACGGCCTTCAACAAATCGTATAGTCGGCTATAAAAGGCCACAACGTGGAAATATGAAACAATTCAATCGAGAAATGTAACGGGCCAATTTATAACAAAACAATTTACTAAATCAAATATGAAACACATGAACCAACGAAAACCATTGTACTACAGGCTCTTGACTTGGGACAGGCATATGCAGAATGTGGCGGAGTTTAACATGTCTGTGAGCGCTAAACACTAAGCCTAACTTGGGACCGTTGTGTAACAGCACAACAAAAACTATAAAATCAGTTGCAGCTGGCTAACTCAATAGATCGGTATTACCGGCCAATATAAATTCATCAAAATCCGGTAGATCTCGATGCTCTGGAAGAGTAAGCTGATCCTGTTCAACGATCTTCAACGTGAGTCACCTGTCGTGTTATTCGTGAAAATACAAACCCAGTGATTTAGTCTAATGCGGTAGGTCATCCTCGAGGAAAAGAGGACGGAATTGTGGTTACGACAATTGAATCATATATTATCCGTTGTTTCCCTGTAACTTGAGTGTGAGTTGATTAAAAGTGTTGTCAGCTCTATGATCGGGTTGTTGTCTCTTTGACACATTCCCCATTTCCATTCTCAAATTCATTTCATTTATTGACAACAAAGTACAAGTCTTTTGATTTGTGTCGAGCCTGCGACATTAATGTCGTGGAAGTGAGACCCAGCAAACGTTTATTCCGTCGTCGGTAATGGCGTCGGCGTCTTCGTCATTTAGATCGTTATGTTTCTCGTTTTGTTTTTTTTACATTTGTCATTTCGGGATCTTTCATAGCTTACTATGCGGTAAAGAATTTGCTCATTGTTGAGGACCATACAGTGACATATTGTTGTTAACTTCTCCATGATTTTGTATGTGATGGAGAGATGTCTTATTGGCTATCATACCACATCTCCTTATTCTTATATAAGGTATTTGTTTTTTGCAGTTAATAAAACTGTTTTGTCCTGATAAATTTGTCAATCTCCATGAATTGTTATAAAACTTGTATAGGAGTTAATGTTTTAGATCAAGATAAAGCATCTACAGAAAAAAAAACTATTTTTCAAATTTTGTATGTTGCAGAAAAATTAACTGTTTACAGTCAACATTACAATTTTACACTGACTGCAGCAATTCAGGCGAGAAAGAGGGTTCCGTGGGATCCTCCACGAGTTTATTATAAAACTGATTCCATTTGAGAACTAAGGAAAATAAACTGCCGGACTATGTTGTGTGGGGATATCCCCTTATGTCCGAAATATTGTTATTTTTTTAGTACTTATTTTCTTATATTTTACTGCCGTTCCCCCTTTTCATACCAAATAACTCTGACCATCAACTCGAACTTTAATTTTAACTTGAACTCAATCGATAGCGACACTCATCCGAAGCACATTAAACAAACGACATATGGAAATCGATTTAAAAATAGACCTATGTTTTTCCAAAATGGTCACGTGGTTTTACCTCATCATCAAATAAACAAGTTGTCGACTTAATCAATTAACAAGTTGAATTCAACATGTCGACTTTTTATTACTATGTCATTACATTTATATTAGCAAGTCGACATTGTAATGCAATTTTTTCTACATCATTCCTACAAGTTGACTTCAATATGATGTTTGATTCTAGCTTATAACACACAACTTAACTAAGAATTCCGACTTATTTGCAACAAAATAACTTAACAAGGGGTGTACCATATCCGCTTCCATAATATGAGATTTTTGTCTTCTCGACGTTTTCCGTTTAGACATAGTATAGCTTGTTTTAACTCGACTTTAGGGTTTTGATTCCTTGTGAAAAAAATTTTAAAAACTTTCCAGGGAAATAGGAACAAGCTCTTTTATGTGTGCCGATCAGAGCCTGACAAATTTTTTCACCTTCTGTTTTGAAGGTAGCATTCTTTTTTATACAATTGTTATGCAAAATATGCTACGTGGACTTATGTTAGCATTTTTAAAATGGATTAAAAATAGAGGCTAAATATACAAGGGGACAACCAAATCTCATGAGTTGAAGAGAGACCGACATACACGATGACATGTACAAAGTCAGTGATAAATCCGATTACATGATATCACAATAAAAAAACCAGAGAGTGGGATTGTGGCTACGAAAATTTGATCATATCTGTGGTTATTTGTGAGACAGATATTCCATGAAGGTCTAATAATTCCTGATTGCATCCGAAAAACTTTCAAAGGATATCTTCAATTTTATCACTTCAAACCCTTGGTTCAAGAGCTTTCTTGAAAGCTACAACCTTCTATCAAGGAAATCATGATAGGAAACGCAATGTCTGGAATATCGTTTTATCTGGGAGATATATACTCCATGGGCAGAAACTACTGAAACGTTGCTATATAGAAAAGGAATATTCACTATTGGAAAGTTGAAATCATCTTAACCGAACCTTATTGTCAATTTCTAGATAACGTCAAAATATGAGGCAGGCTTAAATATATCTGGGGTATTTTTATTTAAAGTTCATTGGGATAGATACGGTAACAATAGTCACCAAATGTTTACTTTTTTAGTGAGCTGATATCATCTATATAGCGGAATGCGAAGTTAATAGAATAATGCTAGATTTTTCATTCTTTCTGAGAAGCTTCTGTTTGAAGTCCGCCTCGTATGAAGGGAACAGGTCGGCTAGAAGAAGGTCATAGTTTGTTTCCAAAGGAATGGTGGTTGTGTGTTGTGTGTTAACAAAAAAAAACGGCCACCAAACGTGAGAAATATGATGTCGTTCAAATAATAAGCATTTTAACGTTGTCAGAAAACTGTTGTACGAATCATTACATTTTAAACCATTGAAGTTTTGAATTATTAGCGTTTGAGAAATCATAAGTTGCAATCCATTAAAACTGTTATCATTATGAACTTTGCTTTAAAAGTTGGACATTATATTTCAGCTTCCTGTAATTAATAACCTTCCAAGTACTGTGTCAATATCAGAGGATACACCAGATAGTACTCTTATATTTACACTAAATGCCACAGACACGATTACTGACCCGTTAGCATGCGTCAAGACGGGAGGAGTTGCAGTTCCATTTTCTGTTTCTGCCATACCATCAACAACAACAGGTTAAACTAAAAATTGGATTTTTTTTTAAATGTAGCATTCTAAATTTTTACTGAAGGAACATATATCTTAATTAATGTAAAAAATATACTTCATTCTACATATATAACATAAAAGGCATCTACCGCATTCAGTGCAATATTGCTGTTGACCACGTTCAATAACATAAACTGTACCAATTTTTCTGCACCACATGCGCATTTCGACAATCAATGTCTCTTCAGTGATGCTCGAGGCCAAAATATTTGAAAATCCAAAGCTTATTAAAAATATGAAGAGCTATAAACGAAATAGGACCAAAAAGTATAGCCAAAGCCGGGCAAGGAATCAGAGCTTTGCATGAGGGAGATACATTCCTTAATTTTAAATGATTTCCAAAATTTTGTGACAGCAAATTTTAATAACATAAAATCCGTATTTTCATGCCAGTACCAAAGTACTGGCTACTGGGCTGGTGATACCCTCGGGGACTATCAGTCCACCAGCAGAGGAATCGACCCAGTGGTAGTAATAACATAAACGGTACCAATTTACAAATATTGATAGTAAGCCGTATCTAGTTTATACTAATACATTTTTACCACATGTATTTTTAATGAACTAGAGACGACATATTGTCTATATATTTCAACGAAAAAAGGGTGCGCATAGAATGAATAAACATTTTATAGATTTTGGTTGTTTACGTTACATGTAAATAAATTGTCAATTCTAAAGCATCTTCCGAATGAACAGTCCTCAAAAATGCTTCAGTTTTCAGTTGTTCAAAAAATAGAATTTAGTTATTTTTTTTTTTTTACCAAACTACGAACACGCACTGACACTGCCACGGTAAAAGAAGAAAACAGACTAAAAGACAAACAGTATACAAAACACAACATAGAAAACTAAAGACTGAGCACTACGAACCCCACTAAAAACAAAGTGATCTCAGGTGCTCCTGAAGGGAATGCAGATGCTGCTCCACACGTAGTACCCGTTGCTCATGTAAGTATAAAACCCGATAAGTCTAATCTTGTATGTCCCATTCAAGGAAAAGAGGACGGACTGTGGTTACGACAATTGGAACATATCCGTCTTCATTTGTGAAACAGATATTCCAATTAATGATGGTGTCCGTAAAAATTTCAAAGGGATGATTTTACCACTTGGAACTCTTGGTTTAAAAGCTTCCGTGTAAGCAGCTACCCTCTATCAAGGAATTCATGATACAAAATGCAAGCTCTTTAAAATAGTATCAACTTGGAGATATATACTCCATATGCAGGCACTGCTGAACTGTTGCTTCATAGAAATGGCAAGTTCACAATTGGGAAGCTGAAATGTTTCTTTTGTCGTAAAGTTCACAATTGGGGTCTGAAATGATTTCTTTTGTCGTACAGTATAGTTCTTAACCGACCATCATTGTCAATATCTAGGTGTAAGTCAAGATATTAGACAGACTTTACTATATATGGGGTATTTTTATTTCAAGTTCGATGGGATAAATGCGTTTAACATATATAGTCACCAGACTTTGAATTATTTAGTGAGATGACATCATCTGTATAGCAGAACGTGAAGTCAAAAGATAATGCTTGCTTCTTTTCATTCTTCCGAAGATATGAAATGTGTTTAGAAAAAGGGAAAACTCATTTTTTTTCAAATACACCGAAAACTGGTTGTGACCAGGTTGTCAAACGCTAGAAGATATCTATATGGCTCGGAAATTTGTGTCTAAATTTTTGTCATCTAAAAAAAAGAAAAGTGCAGCTATGTTTTAAACTTACTTCGAGGTGAATTATCCTGCCACTGGAAAACAAAATACAGTATAATTTCTTTAGAATGAAGTAAGCACAGTTATTAAGTTTTATTCGCATGGCTCAAAATTGATCAGATTTAGATGTATTACGGAAGATGTAGATATATAACAGCGATATAAAAGTGTTCTAAACCGAAATCCCAAAATCAAGTTCTTTACATTCGTTTCTATGATTCATAAAGCATTCGTTATTATTAAGTAAATATGTCATTCGTCATTATGGAGTAAATATGTCATTCGTCATTATGGAGTAAATATGTCATTCGTCATTATGAAGTAAATATGTCATTCGTCATTATGGAGTAAATATGTCATTCGTCATTATGGAGTAAATATATCACGTTTTAAGTCCAATAAACGCTCGTTGTTTTTCATATGGTGATTCACTATGAAATTGATAAACCTCTAATTTAAGAGTGATATACTTTCAGTTTTTTGTGGTTTCTTTTTCGACGAATTTTCAGATTGTATAAAATAAGGTGACATTTAAAGTTCTTTAAACCTTTTGCCTTCCGTCTTTCTAATTGGCTTGTTATTTCATAATAATGTATGTAACACTAATAACCTATCATTGAAAAATACCTTGCCAAAATTTATTTCATGCTATTATCAAAAATGTATTAAATATATGGGTCACTGAGATTTTTTTCACGGTACAAATACGTTAAATTTTGTAAGGATTAGACATGGGAAAAGCAATTTTGTGTGAATAGAATGAAAGCTAAGCGATATATTTGAAGAAGAAAAAATATAAGAAGATAGCTATTTTAATGTGCTTTCAGAATATAAAATGAAAAGTTGGAGTCACCATACTCGTTTTCTTCCAACATAACAAAATCAGAAAATTCACCGTACAATCTTATATAAAAAGGAGTTATCTAACGTGAAGAGATGGTTGAACATACCCTAAACTAGGCATAGGATTAAACGCCCCGGTGTCGACTTTTAGTGGCTACGTATTTATACATCAGACAAACAGACGCCCTGCTTTATCAAGAGGTTGAGTGCCAGAAGGATAAGTCCAGTGATGAAACTATTTCAATAACCCAATAAAACCTTTGGGGCATCAGAATTGCGATGATTGTTATAAATATGATACTGTGTTTATGAAAAAAAAATCATAAGATGATAACAGAAATATTTCAGTTTTAGTATCATCTAAAAGTAAATGTTTAAATTACATACTTTACACCCATTAAAAAAAGACTCAGGTAAGAGAAAAACTTACAAAATTACTTGAGCTAGGAGTACATTTTTTTCTCCTTGTGTTGAATGATATGACAACTGCCTATCAAATGAAACCCTAATGGTTTTCCCTTTTTATTTGGTGTTTATTAAAATAAGTGAACCTTGTTATCATCTGAACGTTTTCGTTATCAATTGATCATATATATGTCCATTGCTGCCTTCGATATCCAAATACTGATACTTAATTATAATAATACTATCACAAACCCAGTAGTCAGCGCTTTTGTAATTGACATGAACCATCATTTATACCATCATCTTCTGTAGTTTTAGTGTTTATAAAATGTTAAATTAATCGAAAATTAAGGCTTTTCTGTCCCAGTATTAAATTGCATGATCCGTACTTGGCATGACTTTTCGGAATTTGCGGTTGTAATTCTCTTCAACTTCGTATCTAATTTGCTTTCTCATCGTTTTGATTATAGTGCCACTGATGAGTTTTGTGTAGTCGAAACGGGTGTCTTGCGTACCAAATTATGCGCCTGGTATCTTTGATGAAATTTATACCATTTTTAGATTATGGTGTGTACTTGGACACCGGAGTGACTTTAAATTATGATGTAAATCCTTCATACACTGTAACTGTAACATGTGACGACGGAAGTGATACTGTTGATGGCGTATTGACAATCATTATTATCCCGAATCAGGTATGTATGGTCTAATTGATATTTCATTAATCCTTATATACATCAGATGTCAACTTATGTCTCTAAACAAATTGGGGAATCACGTTTTACAAAAATACATTTCGAACATTAAGAGACTATCTTTGTCAACATATTGACCCTTTGAATACACTTATTATGAAAGATTATAAATTAAATATTGTAATTAGATCGTTGAATAATGCTTTTCTTGGTTTTTACATTAGTTGGAATTTCCAAAGTTTTATACAAAATAGTCCGAACTGTAACTTAACAACTATGAATATATGTATTGTTATCTAGTTCATGAATTATGTTGCTACCTGTATTTTTCATTTCCCATTCTGACAACTCTCTCAACCTACGATCATTTTGAATGTGAAAGTTTGAAATCAAAACAAGGATTTGCATGATGAAGAACTTTTGCCGATAGAGACAACACGAAAATTGAAAAATTGAAATAGCACAAAGGACAACATAAACAAATATGTGTTCCATTTGACAATGCTTTCAATTTACCTTTATCAAAATAAGTTGTGAACAAATATTACAGCTACATAGAGTTTCTGGAAAGGTGAAAAGTTGGAGATACAGAGGGGGCAACCAAAACCATAACCCAGAGACAGACAAGCAAAACAATGACAAAAAACACGAAAAGACAAACAAAAGTTAAAAACAGATGTAAACCTCTACTCAGAATGATTGATCCTTAAGAACTCAACAAAAAGTACCAGGGTGAACAAATATGCACTGGAAGGGTTAGCAGTTCCTGCTCCACTAGCATATCCAGTCGTATAATAATAGAATAAAACAAAGGATATGGGGTATCCATCCATGACACAAAATCAGTACATGCACAGCTAAAAACAAACAAAAACATGCTCATTTTAAGTAAGCATTTGATGTTGTGATGCAATCGGTAATGTTATCAGAGAGCAAACGTGGACTGGATGGTGGCAAAATGGAGAATATCTGTAGTTATAGTGATACAGATTTCCATATCGGTAAAACAAATTGTTATGGTGTACGTAAAGCTTACAACAAAATGACTTCATTTCTTATCAAAAAGAACCCTGGTAAAATAGCTTCTTTGTAAGTAGCAACCCTGTATAATGATAGAAAACGCAAGAACTGAAACCGTTTGAACTGGGAGATATAAACTGCATAAACAGACGCTGCGGGAATGTTGCTACCGACAATGAAAAGTTTACGTTGGGACAGTTGATCATCTTTTTGTCGTATGTTTAGTTCTCCACCGACCATAAGTGTCAAAAGCTATATGTAAGTCAAGATGCGAAGCAGACTGTACCTGTGGTTATCTTTATTTCAAATTTAAAGATCGCTAACTTCAATATATTTTATGATTTAGATTAATGACATCATAAAATGAACAATTTTGAAATTTATGGAATCAAAGCTATATTTTCACTATTACGAAAAATGTCACAACATGGATTTGAATATCATAATAGTAAATATTTTCGTTTTGCTACAACATGTATATTCATCGTATGTTTAGTTACAATTATAAGTTGAAATATTTAAGGCACCTGTCATCAATAGTTTGCCAGATACTGTAAGTTTCCTTGAAGACGTCAACACCAACACTTTGCTGCATACAATTAATGTCACTGATTTTGAAGGGGATGTTATTTCATGTTATCTTGTTCCAACCAGTACTGTATTCGATATTTCATTGGTACAACCCCTAAACAATGGTTTGTATGCACATTTTTTTTATTCAAAACATGAATGAAAAAAAACCTATTTTATTTTCTAAATTGTAAGGGTAGCAAATAGGCATTTTGCGATTTGTATTATTCAAATATGTAATTCAGTATAAATATTCATTATTTTTTATAAAATTTTGGCTTCAAAAATGTCCATGATGTCTTGATGTTTCCATCTTTAAAAATTTATCATTTATATATTTTCAATGTGTCGCCTCTTATTTAGGATTACTTTTTCGACCCTCTGAAATTAAGCATGTATCTGATTATTTTCTTGTTTACGAAAGACATTGACACGGCTTTATTTGATATTGTAATCCTGCTTAGGTTACCGTAATATCCAGTGAAATGTGCATGTGGTTTCGTGTTATTTGATATTGCCTTTTTTCTCTCTTATGGTTGTGGCTTGTTATCTATTTCTTGCATGAAGAGATACTTCTGGTATCACACTGCACGGAGTGTGATACGAAAAGTGCGTTAATTTGATTGGCTTATCGAGCATCAAGAGACAATATAACGACTTTTTCATTGGCTATTCGTTTAGGTCATTGATAACTTTCAAAGGTTAAGCCGATGTACATTTCGTCCATGGCAACGGATACATGTGATTTCTTTAATAACATACAGAACACTCATACTTTTCACCTGAAAATCTTCTTTTTGTCAAATTTTATTACATTCTGAAGCGAAAAGTTTTAAAATGTCTGATGTATAAGTTTGACGCCGGAACAGAAGATGTGACGTCATACTGGTATGTGCAAAAGACTAGATCAACGATTGATTGGAGGATTTTTTTAAATAACACAATCAGAGTGTTGACCACAATAGTCGATAGAAAAAGTAAAATAACAAAAATACCGAACTCAAAGGGAAATTCAAAACAAAAGTCGAGCGACATTAACCGTAAAATTAAATTTTTAATGTACCCACCTAAAATACGTCTAATCATATATCATTCGAAAGCATAAAAATTATCATCTGTACTATCTTTTTTGCCCGGTTGTCAATTATTCGTACGGTGCCGTTTTTGTCAAATCACGATGAGAGGTCAAGGACGGACAATTTCTTAAGTTACAAGACGTCAACAATTTTGCATATTCTGTCTTCTAAATTTCAAAATTCTGTATGGAAAAATAAAAAACTTTTAAAACAGAGACTATTAGTCAATTGTCAAACGCACATTAAACTATTAATAACGTATTCTTAATAAATAGCGCCTTTTGCCAGAAATTCAAGTGAAAATTATAGAAATGAGTGAAAACCAAAATATTTGTCTGTGATTCAATTGTTAATCTCCACAAAACCAAATAAGATATTTGAATTAGTGCTAAAGAAGTTTTTTGACATCTTCAAATTACTGCAATCACGCTTCTTGCTAATTACACAGCCAATCATAACAACCCATACAGCTGCCCAAAATACCACCATCTGCAAAAAGATAGCTATTTAACTGTTCTACGTTAAAAAAATATTATTATGTAGTCAATTTTAGGTTGAAGAAACACATTTTAAAAAATGCAAAAATGTTTGATGGAAGTAATACACGTGGGGTGCATGCTTTTAAGAGGAATTTAGGGAGCTAAACTTTGATATTCCAATATGTAGGTTAATTGCAAGTCTGTTAAAAGCTTTTCTGTCTTTTCTATTTATTTTGTTTGTAATTTCATGATTATCATTTAAAGAAATAAAGTACTTTCTATATAAATATTAAGCCAGCCTAAAAAAAAATAAATACATAAATAGATAATTACATAGTTAATGATTTAATGAATGAAAAGTTGAATTTCAAATATTTGTCTTATATAAATTGGAAAATTTGTTTTCTTGCTTGCTTCAACCGCATCGTGCATTGACGAATTGTGCTTGTCTGAAGTAGGAAACCCTATCAAACTACGTAATTTTGTAGTAAAAAATTTACATGTTGCAGTTACATGCAGTTGTTTTGGGTCCTCAATGTTCCTTAACTTCGTACTTTATTTGGCCTTTTTAACTTTTTTTATTCGAGCGTCACTAGTATGTCTTTTGTAGACAAAACGCGCGACTGGCGTGTAATATTTTAGCCTGTTATCTAAGATTAATTTATGTACAATCACTGGGTCGATGTCACTGCTGGAGAGGGTTTCCTCACCAATGGTATCACATGCCCAAGAGTTATCACTGATATAGTCATAATTATAAATAAACTCACTGTTTACAACACATTTCATTTTTTGAAATACTATGGATTTTTTATATCTTGATTTTTTTTTACGTTTTGCACCTTTTGTTGTGTTGTTCAGTTTGGTCTGATAATTTTAATTATCAATTAACGAAGTTTTTAATTTTTTTGTAGATGAACGCATGCGTACGAAATATAAACCATGATTTTCAATTTTTTTTGGAGAAATTTTTTTTTAAAGAAATATTATCACTTTAATTTTTATATAGAAAATGGAATCTTCCTGACAGGAGGGACACATCTGGATTACGATACGACATCATCCTACTCATTTACAGTACAGTGTGAAGACCAAAGACGAAATGATACAGGCAGTTTTACCATAAATTTAATACGGAATACAGTAAATGTCTTTCCAATATTAAATGCTTACATATGATCTTATTTTATATAGCTATTGATACTAGTCTGATGAAAATCTGCACCAACTTTTTATCTTCTCAATCAAGACTAAATGTTTCAAAAATGTAAGACAGTCTTGTTTTCGGTCAAAAACTGACGTGAGTCAAATGCATTTCAATATCAAGACAAATCTGTATTATATGATTTTCACAACATTTTAAGAAACCTAGAAAAGTATATAACATAATATTATGTTTTATGAAGAATCCGATCATAAAACAAATCGGGTATAGCAATTCAGGCGATCAGAAATTAATTATATGCTAGAGTTAGCATTGCTTATGATTTATCAAAATAGATGTTTTCAATTAAGACGACATTAGTTTCCCGATGTTTAAATCTTGTAAATCGATTAAGAAAAGACAAATCAAGGTAATGAAAAAAAAAATTGAAGAAATCGCATGAACTTAAAAAATAGCAGGATTAGATGCGGCAAAAGGGCAAGCGTCTCCTGCTACGCATTCATCACCCGCCTTGCGAATCAAAACACAGTCAAAATGTCACAATCGGGAATAGGATAAATTTTCAAAACATGATATCCAAAAGCTAAAACAAAAAGGGAAAAGAATGTTTTCAACGACGAATCTCATCACTGTATTCTTATATATTACGCTTATTAATTGATATTTCGCCATGTTTTGAAACATGGGAATCTAGTGCGAATCGTTTGTTCGTCAGGCATATACCAAAACACAACTCGTTCATCGAAGTATTATCGAGTCGTCTCCTTTTGATAATTGATTTGATGATTTAAAACTATGAACAGAAATTAGATTTTAATATTCTACTGCACTGTATTTCTTTCATTTATTAAAAACAAGTATGCCTGCTCTGAATGTCTTGTATTGTCCAATTCTGTCATTGATTTCAGACTTTAATTTTTTAGCCAAAACATTTGTATTGTAGCCTCCGGTAATAAACAACTTGCCATATACAGAAAGTATATCAGAGGACCTGATAACCAAGACATTGATACACACATTGAACGTTACGGATGTTAATGCAGCAGATATTATCACTTGTACATTGAATTCACATACAACGTTATTTGAATTAGGTAAAACATCTTCGGATGTAGGTTTGTATACGAAATTTCAATAACCGATCATTTCAACTTCGAATGCAACAGCGGTTTCAATAATTTAACAACTTCATGTCCCAAAAACATGGAACATAAAACTTTGTTTGGCGGGTTTTTTGTGTACAACGAATGGGAATCCTCGGAAACGCTTTTCTGATTAACCTTCATCCGGAAAATTCGGAATTCATATTACATATCTACTAAAACAACAATGAACAACTATAATCGCAATTGCAAGACATTAACAGCATCCATTTTGGAATGTTGAAATCCTAACTGCACATGTTTGCATGACATATCACTTTCTGTAAAATTTCTTTTCAAGTTTTGGAATATTTTTTCCATTTATCACATGTTTTCTATTTCCATGTTAAAGGCGACTATTTTGAAGATTCAGAACACTCGTTGCACACCATACATGTTACTTATGGTTTTTGGTAAACTTTCATCAAGCTTGGTCCAGTCATCTCCAAGAACTAAGCCAGACAAAAAAGTGGGGAAGAAAAACTAAGGAAAAACGCAGGATGACAATATATAACTCGACATTCGTTTTAGTTTGGACTAAAAAAAACAAAACCACACAATTGTCTGAATCATAGTAACGACGCGAATACAAATGAACAGAAAACAATCATAAACAAGAAAAATACAGAAGATCGGTATAAATTTCATTTTGAACCGTAACTATAAGAAGAAGGCATGTTGAAATAATATTTTCGACATTTTATTAGAAAACTACAAATATCAGGAAAGTCTGATTTATTCTTAACATTTATCCGCGGGTCTCCTACGGTTGTCGGAAATAAAAATGGTACTCTGATACTAATGGAAGTTGAATAAATGTCATGTTGCGTACTGAATCAAATATAAGCTTTATTCTTACAACTCATATGTAACTGAAAGAAGTGATGAATATGGACTGCATTTATCTAACATTAACGAATTAATTTATTTCAGTTGACTAATTATTTGCATAAAGTCACACTAATCAAAACTTAAAAGTCACCTGGGCCTTTTTTTCATGCGTACATTGAAACCTTAGTGGAATGAATCTGTTAAAAAAATCTCTTTTATTCTTTGCTGTTATAACAAAAAAGATAAAGGGTGCGATAAAATAGTTTTTCGATCAATTGTATGAAGTCATATGTGGGCCGAAATATTCTAGTTCCTCTGCCGATTATCTGCTTGTTTCTTTGATGTATAAAGTTCAAGTAAACGCCAACCATATCACCAATAAACGTTAATCACAATGCCTAATATGGCATTTATTTCCTCTTAATGTTTATATAACAGAAATTTCCTATCAGTGTTGGCAAAACGGAGAACCATACTTTTGCTAAATGTATCCTTTAAGTTACTTTTAAAGTTAAATTCCATACTTGACGATGTAGTTTGTCTTGTATTCGTCATTACTTTGACATAAATCGAATATATTGATGATTTTGATGACCCCATGTTGATTAATTCAGCTTATTATTCCGCAGAACTGTAACAAAATTATATTTTGCTACCCATTTCGATTGTGTTTCATAATGCCATTTCTGTTTCTAAGCTGAAGGAATAGTTTATTAATGTATTAAGAATACGACACCCTCAATGAATCAAACCAAGAAATCTCAAATTCCTGTGGGTGATATTTCGAAAATGCCTCATCAAAGAAATTTGGAAGTCTTAGATTTCATAGTTATCAGCTCTTGTCAGTGTTTTGTTCATTATCCCAACCGTTCCCTAGCACTTAATAACACACGCGATAGTGAACTTACATCAAAGGAAGAAAAGATTACCTCCTTTTCTAATGTGTGTATTGCATAAATCGCTTCAAAGAATACTAATAACTAAATTATTTTTTAAAGTTAATATTGCAGTGTGTATTTCGAAAAAATAGTTGCCAAATACTTTATCAGTTAATTGACATCTGTTGGTTATAATCACATATGACTTACAGCGCCGATCGTTGCAATTTTATAAATTAAATGATTGGTAATGAATAATTTGAAATGAATAATTTTTTCTCATGTTTTTTTCATAGCGGGTTACGGAGTTTTCTTGATCGGAGGAACAGCTCTAGATTACGACGTTACTCCGACTTATCAACTTGATATAGAATGTGGTGATCATAGAAGAAATGTCTCTGATGTCCTCACAGTAGATCTCATTCGTAATGAGGTATGGTAAATATGAAGACACATACCCTATAGCCGGCTACCGGTTATGCAGATGTCATGTAACATATATCAAAGTCTGCTGTACGCGATTGCAATCGGAAAGGCAGACAAAACAAAAATCTGCTGTACACGATAGCGATTGAAATCGTTTTGATTAGCAATCCAGGAAACAAATCCTGTATTATCTGCCATAATGATAACCGGTAATAGGGTGTGTTGCTGTGTAACGAATTTCTAATGAAATCTCGTTCATAAAGATAAAAATACGCAAATGTGTCACTAAAGCAAATAGAAATGTCTTAAACGAAAGACTTATTAATGCCAAATACATCTCTTTATATGCAGGCATTCCTGGTCATTTGATTCATCACTAATGTACAATTGCAAGTGTCTTAGATGTAAATTCTCTTAGACATAAATAAAAGTGTTTCCAACATTTGAAAAGAGAGAAAGAGAAGACATCAGGGAGGTAATAATAAAATTATGTACCGGGAAAAACCATAAGATCATGGCCAAAAAGAAAAACAATACACAAAACACTAAAGATTTAACAACACTAGTAACAGATTTTTTTTACAAACCAAGATTCATAAAAAAAGCATAGGCTGTGCTTTGACCTAAAGTTGCTTACATCTACCCCATTTGGATTGGTGGATAGTTGTCTCATTGCCAATCATACCACATCTCCTTCTTATAGCTCATATCTAGGATTGGGACGACATGAAACATTTTTTATTTCTATATTAATAAATATTAATCTCAACGAGACTGCTACTAACATGACAAAAACTAGAGATATTTGGGTTGAGCGTTCCAAGGAAAATCAAGAAAAGCATCTCGGACGCATGTCACTTTCATTTACTAGTACTGAATCGATACCACTGTTGGGGACTGTGCATCCTCGAGGGTATCATCTTCCTCAAGCAAAGTTGGCCTTATATGAATTTTGGTGAGAAAGCTTCTCACGTTTTCAGGTTTCATACTTCTTTGGCTTTTAAATGTTTGAATTTTAGAGTTCCTACTGTCCTCCTGAAGGTGAATCCACAGAAAAGCGCTACGGACGCATGAAATTTTAAAGAAATATTTTCATATAATAACAGTAAACGGTCTTCAAAAAAGACAATTGTCTGTACTATAGGTCAAACACTAAGTCTCCCCTAGTGGAGACAAATTTTAATATATTTAACAAAACCTACAAAGATCTATCATCAACACGAAATTTCTTAAAGAACAAAACACAAAGATAGAACTATAGACACACACTGACGAGGTTCTGAATGTTCTATTGAATTGCTAAATCCGTTTTTGTTTATCAAAAATAACATTCGCTTCATTTGACATTTCATTTTCTATCTAACTCAGGAAAACAAAAAACATTTACTAGATATAAGAAGATGTGGGATGAGTGCCAATGAGACAACCCTCCATCCAAGTCAAAATTTATAAAAGTAAACCATTATAGGTCAAAGTACGGTCTTCAACACGGAGCCTTGACTCACACCAAATAGCAAGCTATAAAGGGTCCCAAAAATTACTAGTGTAAAACCATTCAAACGGGAAAACCAACGGTCTAATCTATATAAAAAAAAGAGAAACGAGAAACACTTATGAACCACATCAACAAACGACAACTACTGAACATCAGATTCCTGACTTAGGACAGGTGCAAAACAAATTAATGGTACCAAACCTTCACCCTTATCTGAAACAATAGTGTAACATCACAACATAGAAAAACACACTATAAAATATCAATTGAAATGGCTTAACTCAATCAAAAGACATTAACACCGGTGAACATACACTGAACAAATAAATTTGATCTCTGATACAATGCAAATACAAAATAAATAAACTAAGGGAAGAATAATTAAAGTAACATGTTAGCAAAAGTTTAATAAATTAAAATAGCCGTTTTCTTCTGTGCTGCATTTCGTAATTTTAGCCACCATCAATTGCTAACCTACCAATGAGCTGTGAGATACCAGAAAGCATCACTGCAGAAAGTTTATTGTATACCGTATCTGTTACAGACCCTACAAACGACACAGTTACTTGCACTTTAACAACAGTGACAAATACTTTTTTTCTCCAGTCTGGCTCAAGTCAGTTTGGTATGTTACATGAATGCTGTAATGTAAGAGTGGCATATATATTTACATGGAACATTTTTTCAGCGAAAGGGTTAAAGTAAAAACCAAACGAAAGGGCGTTATTTATTTTTTACATAAAAATCGTCAAACCAGTTTCACAATTTTTAAAAAAGACGCATTTCAGATTTATATTTGATAAACTGTCTTCTTAAGTATTAGAGAAATAAAGGACAGCTTTGAATTCTTTAATTCGCAAATTGCATTTATATTATTACATATACAAAATCCTTAATAATTTTAATGAAAGGCATTTGATAACATAATGATTTACTCATCCACATATTGCAAAGTTCGAAATTTACGCCAGTCAAAAATATCAGCTCATATTAAGAATACAGACGGTGAATGCAGACTGTGCGAAAAATGCTAACGTAAAAACACTTGACACTATATTTTTATTGATGAAATATAAAAAAAGAGAAGATTTCCATCATTCTTATTCCGCAATGCTACAGAACAAATCCGTTCATCATCATAAATTGCCGATGGCAACAATATTTATGACATCATAGTAGCATTACGACAATGCCATTCAAAGATATGATATTTGGAATATGAAATAAATTATTATACTCATCATGTTATAATGTCAGTTTTCCACTCGTTAATGCGATTGTTACATTCTGTTCTAACACATTGCTCAGCGGGAACACTAGTATCCTCTTGTATTAACCAATACTAACTGTCAATACAATCAAAACGTCATCCCTTCGGACGCCATCATGAGTTGATGGACCGTTACAGAGTATCTGTGTCACAGATGACCACGGATAAGGTCAAGTTGTCGTAACAACAATCTCGTCCTCTTTTCTCTAGTTGTTACATCACCAAATAGGTTCTATCACCTAATTTGTACTTACTGTAAATTTTGTTTACATTAGTTTATGAATCGTTTAAGCTTTTCCATTTTTCCTTTGAAAACGTTGTTCCGTTTAAGAAACTAGGTTTATGATTGACGAACAATGTATTATATTCAACAGATACTAATATCTACGTTAGAGGGAATCAAGCTTTTGACTATGACGCTTTGAATCGATACACATTAGGCATAGAATGTGCTGACCAGCGACGAAAGGATGAATCAGAATTTTATATATACCTGCTTCGTAATATACCGCCATACTTTACAAATATTCAAGGTAATTTTCTATCTTAGAACGGACAAAAATATCTGTCTTTTCCTCAAAGTAGACATGATATCACCACACAATTATGTATGCTCATCCTTTGATCTGTCCATTATAACATTTAAAAAAAAGAAAGTTTTTCAATATTTTTATAATATAAAGTGATTTTTGAAGTCGCTTAATCTCTTTTGAAAAGGGGAGAAGATACTATGGTTGCAATCAAAAACAAAAATTAAATAAAAAAGGCAATATCATGACCAAACAAACGACGAAACAGCCTCATGACCTATCCACATATCAAATAATACAAAACTTATCTCTAGTGGTAAATATCACTGGCTTGTGAATTAACTTGTACAGTTATCAAGGTAAATATGTCGCTAGTTTATTGATATTCCATAACACTTTAACAATCAACTATTAAATAAATTTCGACCCAAGAAGTGTGAAGCACTGATGCCTGTCATTCTTCTTAAAACTTTGCTTAGTAATTTTTAAGTTGATATAACAAGTTTATTATAAAATCTTTAAAAGAGAACAACAAAAATATACAAGGTTAATATACTGTCTTCAACAACAGGCATATTGCTTAAGTCCGATTATATATCGGATTGAATGTCTCCATTCTGATCGGACGTGGCTGTGTACTTATACATTCAAAACAGCCAAATGGAAGCCCCAAAGGTTTTGCTGCTAGTCGAAAGAAGACCTAAGTGGCCATATTTCTATGCTGCATTCACCCTTGCAAAACCTAAGAAATGGTAAGATTAACAGTTATAAATAATGAATTTGTAACCTTTAATTATGTTTATAAGTAAATTCTAATTCACATGTAATCAAACATTTGAATTACCCGTGTCATGTTGATTACATATTTTAATAAATATCGGCTTATGTAAATTAATGATTGTTTTTTTTTTATATCCAGCTAAAACCACTGTCTCTGCACAGACAGTAGTGACCGGTCAGGTTGTATACACCATAACCAGTATAGATCCAGAGAGTGACAATGTACAGTACACAATGACATCCAGCACGGCTACAGCACCATTTGCAATTAACCAGAACAGTAAGTGTAATGTTTTTATTATCAGTTGGTTTTAAAATTTCATCATAATACATTCCACATGAAAAATTTAAAACCTGTCTTAAAGAAATAATCCACAATGCTTTCCTTTATAAAAATGGTACCATACCGTTCACATTTATTGTTTTGGAATATAATTCTACATATTTTGTTAAAAATAAGCCCGAAATAAAACATGATACACCGACATTCTCATTGTCAACATATTTGTGGAATTTTGAGGTAGAATTTTCCAACAGGTTGTCGGAATTCCCATGGGAACCTACTGTGCACTTCTCCTGGTCGACCTTTTGTTATTTTCATATGACTCGAAGTTCCTTCAGACACTTGTAAAAACAAGAAGATCAAAGAATCTAGATTATTTAATTTCACCTATAGGTATATTGATGATGTTCTTTCTATTAACAATCCAAACTTTTCTGATTGGGTCCCATTAATATATTCTCCTGAACTAGAGATTAAAGTAACTACAGATACAGCTTCCTCCTCATCATTTCTAGACATTTACCTCAAATTTTACAACAACAGTCATCGCAGTACCAGAATCTATGACAAACGAGACAATTTCAATTTTGAAATTATAAATTTTCCTCAGCTTACCAACAATATTCGTACTTCACCCGCGTATGAGGTATACATTTCTCAACTCATACGATATTCAAGAGCTTGCAGCTGCTACTCAGACTTTATAAAACGTCATCGCAAAAAACGTCTGAGCAAAAATATAATGAGCCAAGGTTTTGTCAAAGAACGTCTCGTCCTTTTCTTCAAAAAGTTCAATCATACAAGATGGATTTTAGTTTTAGATTCTAGGTGCTGAAGTTGTGTATCTTTTTATTATACTTTAGTTTCCCCGTTATTTGTCTTTGTGGTATTATGTTTCTTTTGGGCGTATGACTTTTGACGTGACACGGTATTTATGCATCCTGCCATCGGGTTTTTTACTTTTTAACTTTGGGCATTCCTGGTGCTGGTGGATCCCGAGTGTGATTCGCACACAAATGGTTTATGCTGTGTTGTTTCTATTTTGTTAACTCTTGTATTTCCATTTACTTATTTTTACTTTATCGACCCTTGTATTTTAATTAACTTAATTTCCACTTTGTAAAGAAAGTGTATACTATCATACGGTATGTTCTCTCAACGACAAATACTTTTTTTTTTGTTGGTGACGTCATTGTCTCATTTCCGTCTCAGTTTTGACTGCTGGATCCCAATTATTGTCACATTAACCTATTATGTCTGTTTGGGTTGCTCACCCAATTTTGTCAATAAAACGGAACTATAAACAACTGCCATACAAATGGGAGGTTTTGCTAGCTATAAAACCAGGTTTAACCCACCATTTTCTTCGGGAAATGCCTGTACCAAGTCAGAAATATGACAGTTGCTTCTCACTTGGTCCGTTGATTGATAGAGTTTGATTTTGTCAGTCTTTATGGACGTCCCCTTTTTGAATTTGCCCTGGATAATATATTTTATTTTTTTTTTTAAATGTTGTTAAACACTTCTTTTAATTTGGCTTATGTAAAGCGTCTTATGTAAGATACAACAATAAAGAGTGAAAAACGTAGCAAAACAGTGATAAAGGGGAAGTAATATAAGAAAATTTTAACACCCCTAAAACAAGTTAGGACAAACGGGGAACGGGCACATATCAAAATAAAATAAGGAAGTAGAACATGAGAGAAACAACAATAGATAAATGTCTCATTGAAGAATAAAATAGAAAGCTGCCTTCTATAAGATATACTATAATTATAGAATAACTTATCGAAGAATTCAAATATAGAAATATATTCAGCGAGTGACCAAACAACACATTAATTAACGAATGTTTGGATGCAATGTCATCGACAACGTTTTGACAACACCAATTGTTGTAAGACGTCAGAGGAGTGAAAATATCAGATTTATTTCACATGTGAAATTATCGGTTTATATTTCACTAGGAAATCACGGTAATTCATTGCAACCAATGTAATAATGTTGATTAAAACAAAACTTCATGATATTGCTTTAAAGGAAAGCATACTGTTGTATTAGAATACTAGAAATCAAGGATAAGACGAAAAAACAAAATTCATGACGATCGGACACGGCCATCTGTGAAATTAGAAATTCTATAATTAAGATATTGTAACTTCAAATTTAGTTTTATTTTTATTTTTTTTCAGCTGGTGAAATATCTTTGAGTCGTTCAATAAACACTGAGTTGTCAGCTGGATATGAATTATATATAACTGCATCAGATGGCAGAAACAATGTTGCTTATAGAACATTGTCAATAAGAATTTCAGGTAAATAATGTAGAGTTTCATCTCTCTTAATTTTATCTATTTTTCGCCCATTTGGTAAGAAATATTTAGATAATTAGTAGGATTCTCTAAGGTTGTGTTGAATCAAAGTCAATTACCATCATACACCGCTTATCGTCAGCTGACATTTTATTGCATTAATGCGACAAACTGACATTAACCGCATAGCGGTTTTTTCTATTTCTGAATATACAGGTTTCTATCAAACTTTTAAGAAATTTAAGCATTTGATATCATACAGAACCTTCTCAGCGCCAAAAAGACAAAGCATCTTGCAAAGCTCTTTAAATTCATGATATATTGATGATGTCTTGTCAATCATTTTGTCCATATCTTGAAATTATTCTTCAATTTTATAAATATAGACAACTTCAAACTAGAATCTTTGAAAAACGTAATGACTTCAACTTTCAAATTGTCAATTTCTTATTTTCAGCAGTAACATACCTTCTGTCTATCGTATGGTGTTTACATATCTCAATACGTTACGTTTGTGCTTGCTTACACTATACAAATTTCTTCTACAGTGAAGTTTCCTTACACACAAACTTTTTCAAAAGGGTAAGGGTCAGAACAACTAAAATCAGCAATACTAAAAATGTACTGTCAACATCACGAATTGGTTTACCTATACAATGCCTATGTCTCAATTCACTCGAGACATGTTTTCGCAGTCTTAGATGTAAGAATAGCCGTTAGATCTGTAAATTTATTAAATGTGTCCTATTCCTTACTTTGTGTGGATTTGCATGGCGGTAGATTCATACATAGCAAGAGACGATTACCCTGTCTTTCCAACCGGTCTGACTCTTGCTCCATTTAGGAGTTCATTGAATTCCCTCAGATTAAGCTTTTTACCTTGATTTATTTTTTTAAAGGATTTATTGGTTTTGAAACTCGGTAAACTACTGTTTTCAAATGTTTAGATTTGAGCATTCCTGATGAAGATAGATCTTGTAAAGCCTTAAAGTGCTTTGAACGCACGAACATTATAAATTGTTCTTTTTATTAAGAATTAAATCCCTGAAATTTGAGGAGTAAACTTCTGTTTCTCTTATTTACAGTTAAAGATATAGTTGTAATTTTTTTTTCAGATATCAACAAACCACCTTCATTCTTAAATCCGTCACAAACAGTTATTGTTTTAGAGGGCATCAACATCGGATCATCTATTCTTCAACCAATGTTAACGGATGAAGATATATCTGATACGCACACGTACTTTGCATCGTATTCCCCACCAGAGGGTGTTATCTACTTTAAAGTAAACGCCACAAGTAAGATTGATGTATTCTTGTGCATGGTTTAAAACGAAAGAATTAAAGATACTATTTATACCGACAGTTTTTGAATAAGATTAACACAAACTACCAAAGATCTACCCAAAGATCTCCACAAACTTCAAATTTAAGCGAAACTAATATGTAACTTGAAGCTTTGCGGACATCAGTTATTTCAAAATGTAATGCAGTTTAACTGAAAGAAAACACCGTTAAATCATACATTTAAAGTATTTTAAGTGTTTCTCTTGCATGCACCATATAAGATCATCAATACGAGCTTCTGCAGCACGAAATTTATAAAATGTCATTTTGATTTATTAGGACTGAGTACATACCACTGCTAGTGGACTATTAGTCCCCGTGAGTATCACCAGCTCATTAGTCAGTGCTTCGATAATTTTTCTAAAATTTACCGTTGATAAATTAACAATTATTTCAGAAAATAAGGTGCCAACTCCCTCATGCAAATTTGACCTTATATACATTTGGCTATGCCTCGGACGCATAACTTTCTTTAGGAAGCTTGGCTACAACTCCCTCAGGCAAAGGTGACCTTAGATGCGTTTGTTCTTTTTTTTAGATCCCTTTCTGTCATATTGCTCCCATTGTGTTTAAGTTTTTGCATTCCTGATGTAGGTAAATTGCCCGTCACGATATAGCCAAGAGTGCAGAAAGTGACGTTAAACATAATTGTCAATCATCATTCAGTCTATTATGACATCTTTTGGGGAACTGCCCTGTCATTAAATATATTTGATCAATAAAATATTATCTGACCTATTTTGTAAGACATGTGTTTTATTGTTACTCGATTATATTGTATCATTGTAAATTTTCAATTTATAAATGGTCCAGGTATTTGGATTAAAATACATGGGGAAATATACACATTGAACTACATGTAAGAAGAACATGTTCCTCCAAGTAACAAAGAAGATATTTTCACAAATGATAATGTATTTTAAACTCAATATACAATTATTTAACTTTTCTATTATAAGTATTAATTATTTTTTCTCAAACTTACTTGTATTAAAAAAGTTGTTTTAAGAAATTTGACAAAAAAAGTCAGTGAAAATTTGTGATACTGTCCTCATTTTTTATTGGAAAATGGATTAACATTTTGAGACCTTTACCGCATTTTGATTATTTGTTTCTGCATCTATAGATGAAGTGGCATCAAATACCTTAAAAGCATATATCTACAGCATAAGCCGTTTTTTTATTCCCTTCCCTTCTTTAGATAACACCCGGCTGTAAGGGGATCGTGTTGCTCTTTCTTCATTTATCTATGTAGTGTTATGTGGGTTGTTGTTTGTCTTTTTGTCGTTTTTCGTTGGGTTTTTTTCATGTTTTTGACGATCGCTCTTCGTTTTAAGAGCATGTCTTGTCCCTTTCTTATCTTCGACCGCTTTGTTAGATCATATAAGCTTTTGAGGGGTTATCAAGTTAAAAAATTTAAACTTTATTTTGGCTGATGTTCTTAATGTGAACTTAAACACAATCCTATTTGCACAAACGATTAAATGAAGAAAAAGAATATGATTATGAATTGGCTATTTAACTGTGAAACTCTCCTAAATTACATTTACTTTAATTCTAGCTGGATTGATAACATCTATGGTCGAAATTGATTACGAGACAATTCCCTACAAGACGTTTCTATTGACTATTACTGGATCAGATTCTCTGATGGTGGACACCACAAATATAACGCTAAATATACAGAATATGAACGAACCTCCAAAGTTTACAAAGACAAAATATGCATTCACAGCTATAGAAAATAGTGTAAGGAAAAAGTATTCTCATTCAGTAATTAGTTACTAAAAAACAGAAAGAAGATATCAAGGGGTCATTTACAGATTAGAAGTCCAATTAAAACAACAGTTAAAACAACAAAAAGTATGGATCATATATAAGTGTGTTTATCGAATTTGTCATTTCTAATCCGGCAATATTTTATAAATAAAGAAACATTCCCGCTTTAGTTTTTGAAGTATGAACAATTGGTATCAAAAGTTTTTTTTAAACATATTTGTTTTGACTGAAAATGTGGTTTTTTTTTAACTGGAAAAGCATACATTTTACTATTTAAACAAATATTGATAGATTAACCATAAAATCAGCAGAACATTTTAAGTTTGACGTGTATATTATAAACGTTCAGTGAATCTGTAATGGGTTACTAGATATTTTTAGTTCACCTAGTCCAAAGCGCCAGTGTGAGCTATAACCATCTCTTGGCGCCCGTTTTCTTTATTAACTTTTACAAAAATCTTCTCCACTGAAAGTACTTGGCCAATTGGAACTAAACATGGCCACCTTCATCATTTGGGTTCCTATTTTAAACAAATCTGTCTAATGTTCCACCCTGCCAATCAAAATAGCCAATATGGCTTAAGACAGAACATAAGGGTAAAACGCATGTTTGGTCTGTACTCTTGAAAACCGTTACAGATATAGAGAATTCAACAAGCAGATAATGTTAAGAATGTGAAGCATTGTTAGACGACCACCTATAGTATTTATTGGCTTGTTATCACGTGAGTTTTTTTTTTTCATTTTCGCCTTTTATCTTACAAACTGTTATAGATAACACAGAAATTTTTGATACACAAATGACCAACAAGACAGTATCTATAAATAAGTTAAACAGCTGCAATCGTCAGTCGACTACTTATAGGAGTTATTGTCCTTTATTGATGAATTTTACCCATGTTTGCATTATCTCGAAAACTATAGGACTTAAAAAAAAAACTTAGCAGCAAAAATGATCAGCAATTAAGTCAAGATCTACAAATAATTATCGCCGAAATTGTCAGTCGACTCCTTATAGAAGTTAAAGCCTTTATATGACGCGTTTTACCCTTTTTATGTTTTTGGCAAAAACCATTGAAGATAGATGGAGTTTTTTTATGATATCGAACCTGTTTCTTTTCACAAATATTTAGTTTAGATCTGAGATGAAGAAATCTTACAAAGTTGGTGTTCAGGTATTAGTTTTTTTCTATTAGCGTAAAATATTACTCGAAGAATAAGAAAGAAAAAACAAATTCTACCACAATCCTATCTTTAAAGTTGCAGTTCAAATCAATGTATCAGTACTAGAGTGCGTGTAGTTCCACGTAGAACGAATGAACGAATGAATGATTTTTTTTTTTAGAATTATAAATTAAACGGAAAATTTCTCGGTCGTTTTATTTTCGTTATTTTAGCTAATATTTCGAGGAAACCTAATTGAAAGTATGAAGACTTAACATGAACCCAAGTAGAGGACCAATTTATAACAACGGTCTTGCACAACAGATCTGTAGCACAAACCATAACTTCTTTTCTAATTAAAAGGCAATGTTAGAAATCAGTTCTTTTATTCATTACTGTCTTATAAAATGAAGACGTCTCAAGCAGGCAGAAATTATTGATTTTTCAACTGGGTTTGTTCTGAAAAATTGTTGATGAATTTAGAAATTATTAGGAAACTAAGGTTCCAACTCCCTCATTCAAAGTTTACCTTTTATAGTTTGTGTATATGCTGTGCTGTTACACCACTGTACAAAGTTATGGGAGGGTTGGGCGCGTGCAAATATGTTTAACCCCGCCACATTCTGTATGTGCCTGTCCCAAGTAAGGAGCCTGTAAATCAGTGTTTGTCGTTTGTGGCTGTATATCATATTTATTTTTCGTTCATTGTTTTGTTCATAATCAGGCCGTTAGTTTTCTCGTTTCGATTGTTTAACATTTGTGATTTCGGTGCCTTTTATAACTGACTATGCGGTATTGGTTTTACTCATTGTTGATGGCCGTACGGTGACCTATAGTTTTTAACTTCTATGTCAGTTGGTCTCTTGTGGAGAGTTGTCTCATTAGCAATCATACCACATCTTCTTATTTTTATACTTAGCCGTGTTTAGGTCTTGTAGCATTGGCTTTCAAATTTATGGGCTTGAGCATTCTTGTTGAGGGTAAATTTAGAAAAAATACGAAATTAATAGTGCTATTTTTTGACTGATTCAATTAATTTTTTTATTTATTTAAAGGCTGGGACTGTTCTGCAAAATCCATACTACCAGTTTTCAGACGAAGACGGTGATACCGTTAAGTTCTCCTTTAATTGTGGAACAGATACTGGATTTCTAGACATAGATTCAAGTACGGGACTCCTTTCATATGCCATTGATTATGACTTAGACGTAGCTGGTACAGCTTCTCTTATAATCTGCGAGGTTTATATTACTGACAATGAGTACACCGATACTGCTTTTCTTAACATAACGGTACTTGATGCCAATGACAATTCTCCATCGTTTCTGAGTGATGAATACACATTTGTTGTTATAAATAGCCAGTCCATTGGATCCACAATAGGCAAAGTTGATGCAAACGATAATGATGTCGGAACTAACGGTAAGATAATACACAATTAAACTTTTTTATATTATTTTATTTTTTTTATTTTTCCATGTGTTTGTTTTTTGGAACCAGTGCGGTTCTTCATAAAGTAAGATTTTTCATGACCTACAAGAAGAAATTTTTGTCACAAAGGCACTGTTTAATTAGGCAATGTGTTCGATTTTTTCAGTTGAGTATTGGAAATAGTAGTGTAAAGAGTAGACAAATCAAAAGGTTTGATATCACTTCAATACCGTAAACATTTTGATTGATGATTTTTCAGCAGATCTTTCGAATTTTTAAGAATCCACATCTGATTGACACCGTTGGTTTAATTTAATTCACCATAATAAGACCATCTTACTGTGAATGAATGATGGTAAGAACTTTAGAATAATGTTTATTCATCATAAGGCCGTCTGCAAACAATAAGTTTTACTACAAAGGATTCAACTCATACATATTAGTCATACAGATATAGGAATATGAACACTAATTTATACTAATCTGACTAAGGTCCAGTAAGTAACAGTTCGTAAGAGGACATGCTATTCCTAGCCGACCAGTACTTTCTTTTACTCGTATATAGTCATCCTGTTTGTCTGACTGGCACCAAATGCTTATTTATTTACCCTACCAAGACTTTCCTAATGCAAACACGTTTCTACGAAACCACCGAATTTATTCCGTCCTGTAAGATCAGTATTCTTTTCAATGGGTATATTTTCCAGAGACGTATTCAATTGGTTTTAAATATTAGATATGTCTTTAAGATGCTTTACAGTCAGTCTTCATTTTAATTCTAATATCAATATTGTAGGAAACGTCGTTTATCATCTGGCACAGGAAGATCTCAACAACGGGTTGTTCAGCGTATCTGCTGATGGCTCCATTATTATTCAACAGTCTTTGGAAAGTTTTGTTCCGGGCACAAATCTCAACCTTACTGTTTATGCTGTGGATAGTGGGGGTGAACAAGATACTGCCTTGGTCAATGTTATTTTACCTGTTGTAGAATCCAATGGAAATGTTTATGTAGATATGGTATACTACAAGTCCTTCTTCTCATATGCTCCGAACATGGCATGGTTTGTTCCATTGATGGTAATCATTTTTGGAACAATCTGCATTGTGTTCCACACTGTATTTAAAGGATATTGTACATGCTCAAAATAAAAAGGTAACTAACAACAACTAAACAACTATAGCTGGGTTTATTTTCTTGCAAATAGATGATCCCTCTTTATCTTACTTACTTATATTGATGAAATGTACATATTTAAGAAACCCTGTAATTTTTTAATTATTTGATATGAATAAAAGGAGATGTGGGGTATACGTCAATGCGACTGCTACATAACAAATTGTAAACATAAAAAAAATATGGTCTTCAACAACAGAAAAGTGTCCTTACCATATGTCAAATTTTAAGTTGACACAAGTTTTAATAAAGTTAACAGAGATTGGGGAAATCTGTAATCAACAACACAGTCTCTAAAGGGCAAAACATAAAGATAAAATTAAAGCCAACCACTTATGAGGTGTCCTGACTTGGGACAGGAAATTTTCATGAGGTGAGGTTAAACTAATTGTTTTTCGTACTCAGTCTTCTTCCTATTTAATGTATAACAAATCAGTGTAATAACAAAACAAACATACAAACTGCGAGTACTGTCAGATCTGTACTTAGTGCCTTTTTGTTGTAGGGATGTATAAGTACCCTGCCACATCCACTCTCTGTTTTTGATAGATGTATTTCTATTTATATCCATCTGATGAGTTAAGTCTTTTTCAACTGATTTTTATAGTTTGTTCTTATGTTGTACTGTTACACCACTGTTCCAGGTTAGGGGAGGGTTGGCGCATTCAAACTTGTTTAACCCCGCCACATTCTGTATGTGCCTGTCCCAAGTCAGGAGCCTGAAATTGAGTGGTTGTTGTTTATTGCTGTTTCTCGTATTCTTTTTTCGATTATTGTTTTGTATAGTTTGTTCTCGTTTTGTGCCGTTGCACCACTGTCTCAGGTTAGGGAGAGGATTTGGCACCAGCAAACTAGTTTAACCCCGCCACATTCTGTATGTGTCTGTCCCAAGTCAGGAGGCTGTAATTCAGTGATTGCCGTTTGTTGCTGTGTAACATATTTGTTTTTCGTTCATTATTTTGTACATAAATTAGGCCGTTAGTTTTCTTGTTTGAATTATTTTACATTTATCATTTCGGGACCTTTTATTGCTGACTCTGCGGTATGGGCTTTGTTCATTGTTAAAAGTGACCTATAGTTGTTAATTTCTGTATCTTTGGTCTCTTGTTGGGAGTTGTCTCATTGGCAATCATACGACATCTTCTTATTTTTTATAATAAAGTTTCAGAAAAATCTCTTTATCTTTAATACTAATATTATAAAGAATTGAAACACAGGTACGAGTCAAACAAATAATAGCGTATTGCATTTAAGAAAGAAGAGGAAGATACCAATGGTATACAAAACTCATAAAACGAAGAAAAACTTACAACGACATGACAAAAAAAACGAGGGAAACTGAAAACTGAATAATATGAAATTCCCAATATTCTGATTTTATTTGTTCTGGCATGTAATTGTTCATAACTGAGTACATGATCGAATAGGCAACAACAACACGTTTATTTTGAATATTTATAAAAGAAGACGATCTTCCTACAACGTCGAAGTTGAAGAGGCTACTTTCAGTTTTACGAAATTTTCACAGTTAGCTCAAATACAATGATCTATATTTAAGCATTAAATACTAGAATATTTTTAACATATATTTGGAAAAAGATTTCCCTCGCGCTCTGTCTATGTACACTTTCCGACTCCCTCAGTCAAGGTTATCCTTAGATGAACTTGTTTTTTAATGTCCCTTTGTTTATATAGCTCATTGCGTGTTTTTGTAGTTAAAAATCCTTGGCTTTCAAATATTTGGCTAAGATCGTTCCTGTAAACACAGGAAAGCTCTTTGGATACACGAGAGTGTTAATTTCATTTGACTATCAAATTATTTAAATTATATTTATTGCAGGACTGTAAAGACAAAACGATTGAAATAGATACAGAGGAACGGATTGTTTCAATAACCGTTGTTATCAACATGTCATAAAAAAACAAATGCATTAATCTGCAAACTGTCAGTAGTAGTTTAGTAACTTTTGAAATTAATTCTTGCTGCTAAATCTGAAGAAAAATAGTTTTGCTTCTCGTTTTTTTTTCTATTTTCACGTGATTTTCTTAAAACGATTGAAGCCGAACTCCTCAAGAGCGATTCTATTTGCCAATCACAACTTCTCGTTACACTTTTATTTCTAAATTAATTAATCTAAAAAGTGCTTTACAGTACTCATTTTGTATAAGATAAAAACTTGAGAAAACATTGTTGGTTACTTAACCAATACTGAATACTTCAACCTTTATGTACTAACAAGACTTTTTAATGTAACATTTCAAGAGAAGATACATTAATAAAAACATTTCACCGAAGAGACATTAATTGTCGAAATGCGCATCTGGTGCTGTAAAATGTTAACGTAAATGTTATTCAACATTGTTATACAATCAAATCTCAAGAAAGATACCAGGCTTATCATTTCGTTAGCCAGACAAGAGTTCAGTCTACATATCAGTGGCGTTCAAACATTTAAGATGACAAATCGATTACGAAGTTGAAGAGCTCCGAAAATAATAAATTATATCGAGTTCACAACAAACGTCGCGTACTGTAAAAAAAATGTTTGTGTTTTGTTTCTTCGTAAAGTCGAAAAATTCGTTTGCCTCAGCCCAAAAGAAAGATGAATGATTGGTGCTTTATGAAAACCGTTCTTCTGATTTGGAGTACATTCCTGAGGATGTCATGATTCGGTAAATAATAAGGATAGAAAAGTTCAGCATCGCAGGATTACTGCATTTTTATAAACTTTTATTTTCTCCCCGATTGGCTGTTCCTGTACATATTATTAAATTGGTTCATCGCATGGTAATGCTGCAAACAACTTATTAACACGACATTGACTGGGGTATAGAAATATGTATATCTCTTGGTCATGTTTCGACCCCGGCAGTAAAACCCTTGCCAAAATTAGTTATTCGTTCGGCTGTGCTGTTTGTATAAATCCGATCATAATGGGAGTTAAATCCGTTACCTCGTGGAGAGGGAGAGCCACGTTCTATGCAGTTAAGAGCCCTTGATACAGCTCATTGAGGGATTCATAGGAAGCCTGTTGCAAAGCTTAATTTCTGTTCCTATCCAAAATTCCCTTATTTTCTAGTGACTTTCTTAATTTTTCCCCCTTGATCACATTAGAATCCCTGTTGCTGATCATACCTATTGTATTAATTGCTAATTCGTCCTCGTCTTGAACATAAATGAAATGTTTGCCATTGTAATTGGACGTTAAGCAAACAACAGTCAATCAATCAAACAACCTTAAATTTAATATTGTTTCTGAATTAGTCCACTAGATTCGGAAGACAATTTCAAGTGAATGATGTGTATGATTATTGCGTTTAGTCTGAAAAGGGATTGGTGAGACTATTTTATCGGTTTTTTTTTAAATAAATGGGCAATACTTTGAGTTTTTGACAAAATAAATTGGTATAAAACTTAGTTATCATAATCATTTTTATTCAATAGATGTTTCTTCCTGAATTAAAGGGGCATTAGCTACGAGATATAAAAAAATATAAAACATGATTTTTTTTTTGGTGAAATAGTGAAATAGCAGCCAATCTCGATCCATTTTGTTAAAATAAGCTAAGAAACATCGCTGATGAATTATTTACTTGCGAGTAAATAATTCGACCTCATTGAATTCGTACTCATGTGACCTCCAATTTAACACCTTAGCTGGAGATGGGTGCGCATGTATTCAGCTATTAAAGGGAAAAGAATGTCAACATTGAAAGTCAAACAATGATGAACCATTTGGTTGACTGATTCGATCCACAGAAAATCATTCTTATACAAGTAAAACCGATGATAAACATACTTTTTAATCTACAATATAAAATCAAACAGACCTTGAAAAATCCAATTGCACGTGGTCACAATCTATTTATAATTATATTTATGTTCATATCGGGTTATATAACCGTCGGCAGTCTTCGGAGGTCATCTCGATGGTTAATTAGATGACGTCTAGACAATAATACACACGACATGTTGATACAAATTATCGAGTCCATGCATTATTAATTACTTATTTTAAACTTGTTGTAATTTGGATATACATTTTAGTATGTTATAAATCAAATATGAGAATTTGAGTCAAATCGATGAACATAAATTTGACAGCTAATGCCCCTTTAAGATTTTGCAGAAGATATTTAGAACTTTTATGTATCCACACCTTATTTACACGCTGGTTCAATATACCTCATTATCATATTTTTAAAAGCCATGATTTACGGTAGACATAATAGTGGTAAGAGTTTTAGAAAGATGTTAGTCGAACATTTTACGACCCGCTTTTATAAAGATTTTTGTGAAGTTAAGGTATCCAGTATAAAGACTGGAGATTTTCAACACCATTTTTGTTGTAAATGGCATAGGAGAAAAGGGCGGATTTGTGACTTTTTTCAAATCTCCTCTTTCGTGAATGATGTAAAGATATGATATTTTAGATGTCCAGTTTTGCCGTGAAATCCGAGTTCTGTAGTTAAACATTCCAAACAATGATTTTTTTTTTCATATACAAACAATATTAGTAGAGGCTTTGACTGCTAAATCAAAATATTTGTCGTGAAGAGAGGATTAGACATGCCCCACCTTAGGTTTCTTGCAGAGTTAGAAAACCGTGTGCTCATTATACTTCGTAGATTTTTAATAAGACTTTAAAATCATTACCGATCGAGTAGGTTTAATCGGTCCAGATCAAGTGTCCAGGTTTGGTGCATCTGACTCGCACTTTACACATTTTCTGGCATAGTCTTCAATTGCATTTATCAGTAACATAAAGTTCTTCTTCTAATTGTTTCATAATTTTTCGTTCCGATGTTTATAGCTTACAATAAAGTATGGATTTTTCTCACTGTTGAAGGCTGTACTAGGAACTTTAGTTGCTTTCTTCCAGGTTCTTTAGTCTCTGTTGGATAATTGTCTCGTTGATAATTAAAATCTCCTTATTTTCATATAGAATTATGGCAACAATTCTATTTTTTACGTACAGTGCAGATTATTCTTAGATCACTGTGACAATCCTTGACTATGGTTTATTTTTCTATTACATGTTGCATTGATGGGATGGAGCTCTGGTGTCTATCAGGGACTTTAGATTTTGATATGAAAGTGAACAACATTGCATAAATCATGAACTTGAGAACATAAGGATCAAAAACTGTTAACATAAAATATTAAACCAGCTAAAAGGTAATAGATTTTATAATATTACATTTTTTAACGCTTCTTGTTTGTATAGTTTCACGAATTGATAGAAAAAAAATTCATTTTCTGTCAAAAATGACATAATATTTCCGAAGTTTCATTCAGAAATTTGCTTCTGATTACAAATGAGGAGATTGTGTAACGTGCAGAGGGTCCTACACGCCAGATGGTACTTTTTGTGCCCGTGGACCCGTACCAGGGTCACTTCCCTGGATTTGTGGTTAATCGTTGGTTAACCCTTACAAATGGTAACGTGTATCCTGACTTAACTAAAACTTAGATATAAAAGCCTAACGAAAATGAAAAAGACTACCTCCGGTAAGTATACTAAATGGTACCCTGAACCTCACAATGGATTACAACACAAGGGACAGATTGTTTTAACTTTGACGTAGCCTTACTTCAAAATTAGATTTATGGTTGTTCACCTATTTTCCTTACAGTACTTTAGTACTTTGATTCTAAAGTAATATATGAAAATATGGTATCCAGTGCGCCCCTGGTCGTTGTCCAGAGCCAATGTGTCACTGGTCCAAAGGGACAGTATTACGTTGTCACCTTAATTATATACCACAGGACAATATGTCACCACCTTATTCAGATAGTACAATTGGCTTTTACCTATGTAATCTTAACCCAAAGGTCCTTGGTAAGCTACTTCTTTTTCAGAAATAGTTATAGTTACCTTTTCGTATGTCTGTACTCTACGAGCTCTGACGACGGTCTAATTATAGATGATGATGGAAGTTTTTAACGACCTTGACTGGCTGATTATCGCTGTGAGAAACTCTACTTATATACTAGAATAATCTCTAACCACAATGCATATAATCTCTAAACAGAAATAAATGTATTCCGTATTACTATTTTGTTTTAATGTAACGCCGATAGTACTTTAAAGTCAAACACTTAATTTTCTACTAGGAAGGATCGGAACCAGTAACAAAACTTCGGAAATCGTTTTCCGTATCACAACCGTAATTAGCGTACGTCATTAACAAACGAACGTGAAAGTAGAATGTATCATGTGAACATGAATTTAAACTAACAGATAAACTTAGAACTTCATAATATTAATAAGGTTACTGAATAATTTTCGTCTCAATTGAGACCTAAAAAACTAGTTTTAATGGCATGTCCCAAGTCAGGAGCTGTCAGTGCATGTCTTAAGTTATATCTAAATACTTTTTGTTCTTTGAGGAATTTTAACAAAGATGTGGTTGAAGAATCCGGGTCTGCAGGAGTCGAAATGAGTGTTTTGCATCTGCCTGCGTACTGGAAGTTAACTGATTTCCCATTAAAAGCGTCAATTTCAGCACATTGTCAGTTTCTTTTGCTGTAGAAAGACCAATATCATCCTTGTTTAAGTTCGTCCAGATTGTTCATTGTTATGCTAATATATACTCAGAGGCAGAAGACAGGAAAATCTTTTCGTCATTTTGTTTTGGTTTTTTTTTCCTCCGAATTAAATCTTTCAAATCCTTTACCTGATTTTTTCAGTTTTAGTTCGTAAGAAAGGAGATATAAGCACTGTACCTGCCATATCAATACCCCGTGATTTTATCATTGAGAGGAATACTTTAGTATTCACCTTTTGTATGGAACGTCGTAACTGTCTTATAGTGAAGATATTTAATGTGTTTTGTCGCTTTGTCTTTACGTCCTGTCATTTCCTCTTTATGTAATGTGTAAGTGCCTTTATTTCCTGACACTGCATCTCTGTGTTATTTCAAATTACTTATTTGTTTTGTCAAACAATTGTATGATATATCATTGCTATTCTTTGTTATGTGCAATATGCATTACATTATGTTGTTACTGCTGTATATTCTGTGATTACCTCTAAACTGTATGATCAACATCTCTACGTTCTTTCACATTTCCTCTATGTTGTGTCTATTCTTTCTTACAGTATGTCAGTTAATAATTGCGTCCTGTCTAAAATGGGATTGTTTTGTTGAATGTTCGAAACGTTTTGTCTTAATACATCTTTGTTCTATGAAAATCTCATGATTTTATATTATAATGGCTTTATGTTGTGTTTATTCATATATATCTTCTGCGAACAATGTTATATGTCATGGTATAGCTTATATGCTTT